ATGATACAAAGTTATCCATAACCAATGGCTGACTACAGAAAGAGGTTCTCTGAGTTCTAGTGAGAAGTCGTGACCAGCAGCGCCCACCAAATTGGGAATGAGGAGAAATACTCGCCGATGAAGGTGACTTACAGTTGAGCCATATATTGCGAATTGACAGCAGTTAGGTCATTAGACAGATCTCATCCAATTGGTTGGAATAGGTGACAACCTCGCCTCATAACCTGAAGGATTCGATCTTCGGTGGGATCATCGATACGTAATGCTTAAGAGTCCCTAGGTTTTCAACGATTCTCTAACCAATGACAATCCATGACTAGACTTCCATGATTTTTGCAGTGACTAATAATAAAAATAACATCTTCATTCTGGACAGTATCTATAAAATAAACAGAATTTCCAGAGGAATTTATTGCATGCTATTTTCCGTTCGTACAATATCTTCAAGTAAAACATTAATTGACAATATATCATGTGACACAATGCTCTCTGAGCTGGAGCACAAACCATTCCATCATGATATATCTGCTTTATCTCCTTCAAGAAATCCACGGTATCTAGTTGGCAGCCAATTGTAAGATGTTCAGAAGTATATTCTGAGACCCAAAGGCATAACTGAAGAACAGTTATCTCATGTATTGGGACAAGATGCCACACACACAATCAGGCCATTCCTCAAGTTTTAGTAGGAACTTGCATATCAGGAGCTTGTAAACATTTTCAATACCCAAAAGAGTAGATACTACCATTAGAGGTCATATCTTAATCGACTGAAACAAACCGAATAAGAGAAAATAATAGACAATAGACAGATGGAAGTTTCTGGTAACTCAAGTTTTAAACAAATAAATTATCTGATACATACAAGAGTTAATGAAAACAAAACACGTAGATCAGCGAAGAGTCTCTTTTCGGCGGCGAATTCATTTTCTTAGCTATTCAATCGCGAATATATGTGTTATTTTGTATGTATGTGTACATTAAGTTTGTCAAACAAAAATACAATTGGTTATGGTTATTTCAACTAGGCAGGTGTAGATTAGTAATTGGAGTTACGTAATCCGAAATCAGTCAAGAAAACTAGGTGTTAATGAAATTAGGGTAGTAACAAAGGTGATGAGTTGTCACAATCAGTTGTTAAAAGAAGTTATGTAATAATATAAACAGTTTGGTGAGTGAGTTTTACTCAGGATACACATAGGAACAAAGTAGATAATACGAAATTACGTAAGAGTTCTAAATGAATACAAGAATTATAAGCAATTAAAGAACAGACAAAGAAACAAAATTAAGTCATCAAAATCAAAAAAGTTGTTACCATGACAGTAGAAGTGGTTGAGTAATCCTCTTTTGTATACACAGCTCCGGTTTTTCTATGCGAACAGTCAGAACTTCAGCGATACAAAGGAGACAAAACTGTATTGCCTTTGATAGGTTATTCTTGACTCTGTAGATTACTTTGAAGGAGGCGTTTGTTGAAATGGAATGATCAGTGTTAACCGGGTGTTCAATTATCGCAATCCTTATTGCACCACTATTGCCTTTTCACAACCATGCTGGATAATGTTCTTGAATCCTCTTGGACAAGGTGCGCATCGAACGATCGATGTACCTGGTTCCACAGCAGCAGATGAACTGATATATGCACATAGAAGTGGTTAGATGCGGGATCTTGTCCTTGAGGCTTCTGCAGATCAGTGGGTGACTGGAGAACACTATTCTTAGCGTTGCTGCAAAGAATGAATAAGCCGAAAAGAGACTCTTCGCTGATCTACGTGTTTTGTCTTCATTAATCCCTTGATGGGGATTATCATGAGTTGGAACATACGAGAGTATTCTGTAAAGTTCAACCATATACTAACAGGTTTTTTTTTAAAAAGAATTACTCAGACAATGCACAATGTGTTGCGATTACATGAAATAGTATTTTATTACCTTAAATTTATTAACTCTAAATCAACAGAATATTAAAGACAGAACTTTAGACAATGCCAAAAACAATATCACTTAACGCACAAACCAATCAACAATGATTATGTAATAAAAGAGAGACTAAGGCAAGCAAATGCAAAGAAAGATACAATCAGTCAGTTTTACAGACAAGTGTATTACATAATTAGACATAACGTAGGTTATTTTTGTGCAGCAACACACATTTTAAGTATTTTTAAAGACTGAAATGTGTACATATTGGTGTGTAATTCAATAGACTAGAAAATGGACTCAATCATGGACGTGAATCACCCACATGAGGGTATATATATATATATATATATATATATATATATATATATATATATATATATATATATAACAGGTGTCTGTCAAGATACCCAGCCAAATAGACATCGATTTGCTTAGTTGTTAATTGTAAGCAAAATGACAATTATACTAAAACACAGTATGTATTGTTAAGATTAAATTACATCCATATGTAAGTGACTGACAAAAATTACAAAAACTTTACATGGTAGCAAACTAATTCTTGAAAACAAAAGAGATTACACAATAAAAACGGAATCACCATCATGTTTTAAAGCTATGAAGCATGTTAATAAATTAATTAATCAATAAAAACTCGATGACCTAGCTAGATGACTGGAGGCAATCAGCAAGAATCCTTGTCTGACGTAGATTTCATGCTTGTTGACACTCACAAGTCAGTCAGCAGGGTGTATCTGCACTCTCTTAAAGGAACTCCACGCCCTGCACTCTGAGATTCGAAACCGTGTCATCCAGTGATGCAGTTAGAGACGTTACGACTGAGCTATTTGAGCTCGCAATCGACCTACTATAAGGCTGTATTAGATAATAAAACTTTAAATACCAGACAACAAAGCTGTAGTCAATGTTGCAATGTAGACACGTAGTTCTGCCAAATGGGTACCACGATCAGATCAAGTTAGTTGCACAAAATGCTTCGTGTGCTTAGACCACTGAACAATATCTTACACAATCACCTTGGGACCATATGGGAGCTTAATGTATTAACAATTCTTAGTGGTTAATCAATGTGTACGGTACAATCAATACTACTACTGTTATTCTGAAAATAAGTATTGGATAGTATTTATATTTCGAAATGTTGCAGTAGATACGTTGTTCAGACAGATCGCACTTTATGTTCGATCATGAACTGACTTCAATTAGAGAACCATTGAAAACCGGGGAGTACTGAACAATTACTTCGTTCTGGTCTGGAGCTCTTCATCAGTGCGCGGTCATGACCCAGCCCACCAGTACCTTCTAGTTAGGAGAAAAGCTCACTGACTATCCAGCTATTGGGACTCAATCAGTGGCCCGTCAACTCTGGCTTTTGAACGGTTCACGATATAGAGTGGTACAACCAACCGACTTCATCGGCGAATATTTGCCTTTTTACAGCCAACTTGGTGAACACAGCTGGACACAGCTTCTCGTCTAGTAACCTAAAAGTCCTAGGCTTGATCTCTGCTCCCGAGTCATGGGTGCATGCTGATGAAGAGTCCCAAATGAGGACGAAACAGCTGTATAATGCTTCTTGGTTTTCAGTAGTTCTCTAACTGTAGCCAGTCAATGCTTAAACTTGAAATCAGTCAAATACCTGCAAAGTAACATTTGAAGACTCTACATTAATTTTTGTTGCATTTCCTGAGCAACAGACGTATTTTGGTTCTGGACAACACAGTCAATAGGAAATGGTTTTCTGAGAGAGACGCCATTGTGTTTGGATTTTGTAATAAGAAACCTGATAATCAATATATTAAGTATTACTCATTCAGATTTTCTATTCCCCAAAAAAATAATGCATAGATCTATGAAAAGAAATGTCTTCAAGAAAACCAAGTGGAAGGAACAATACATCCACTTCCATAGCTTCCTAGCTTTAGAGTTTAATTCACTGTCTTAGTCATGGAATCAAACGCACATGTTTTGACAATAAGTATATCATAGTCATATTAGGGCACCAAAATAGTTCCACGATTTCTCATCTTTTGATTTCATTGTTGGTGATATTTTTCATATATCTGATATTGGTGTTGAGTTATTCTTATTATAAACGACAGGTGTAGATTCGCCAAATAAGGATTCAGTGATTAACATCTCTCTAAACCTGACTATATTACTTGGTGTGTGTTAGTGCATGCATTGCTGGGTTTTCCTTTAAGCTATTTTATCTTCATGAGGTCAAGTATTCCATATTTAGCTAATTTCCTATGTTCCCATAGACTGACTGCCCTGGTCTACCAGTCTGACCCATATGGTAGATCTCACAGTCATTTCAAGGCATTCTAAAGGTTAAATTACTTTATGTTACTTCATGAATGTTCATTAGCACTGGAATCCAGGATACGTATTTAGACCTAATTGAGACCAAGCTCCCACCGCGTGTGGTTGGCAAAGATTCTAAACACTGAACCACTGAGAAAGCTAGTTTCGCATAATATTCAACATCTCCCCCTTTGAACTGGTTGGAGGATTTCATCATGAGCTGACATCAGTTAGTGAACCTCTGGAAAACCACAATGTAGTACTGGACAGCTGTTTTGTCCTGGTTTGAGGCTCATCATCAGCAAGCACCTATACTGCGGGGTTCGAACCCAGGACATTATGGTTACAAGGCGAGGTCGTAGACCATTAAGCCACTGGGATCCGATCCAATGGCCAGCCCATGAATTCATAACATAGCTCTTAATGGTCTACGATCTGGCCTTGTAACCAGAAGGTCTTGGGTTCGAACCCAGAAGGTGGGTGCGTACTGACGAAAACTCCCAAACTAGGACGGAACAGCTGCCCAGTAATTCCAGGTTTTCAAATGGTTTTGTAACTGATGCCAGCTCATGATAAAAGCCTCCAGCCAATCAAACAAAATCCCTACAAAACCAATACTTGAAAATTTCCCCCTTTAAAAAAGAAATTATACAATCGACAAAATCAACAAAATAAATTAAGGTTTTAAGCATGTATAGAGGATGACATTTTTACAAAAATAAAATTGTATAACAAAAGCAAAATCTTACTTTCAATTCAGTTGTATTCTTGCCAGTTTTTTGTATCATAGCAGCTGAACCAAGTATAGTGTTAACAACTAATTTCTGTGCTATTGGACGAGGTAATCCGAGTAGAACACCAGCATCTGTTATCGCCTCAGCCACCATATATATCTACAATAGTAATAAAAATAATAATAATAAGAATGGGACAGAGGATTTCAAGGAAATATGATAGCTGGATTATGGGACTTTTTGGTAGGGATTTTCAATAATTTCATTGTGGATCTCGTCACGAATTAAAATCAACTGTTTCATTCTCGTTTGGGACTCTTCATCAATGCACATTTACGTCTCCACCAGGCGTCGAACTCGGGACTTCCATAATCTAAACAACAATCTCCAGTTCTTTGATGGCTGCTTCTGGATGGATGTCCTGAAGCTGTACAAAGAGAAGTCATGACCAGTGGGATAAACCATGTCTAGGTAAAGTGGACACCCATCGAAGGCGTCAGTTGAGGGTAATGCTTTATCACGAATTCACAAACTTAGAATTTGAAGATCATTGGATTCCGACCCAAGTGGTTAGAATGGCCAACGAGCTTGATCTCGTAACGTGAAAGCCCCAGATTTGATGTCTGGTAGGGTCGTGGGTGCACACTAATGAATAGTTCCGAACGAGGGCGAGTTATCTAGTTCTCTCTAGTTTTCAATGGTCTTCAGCTGATACTGGTTTCAACGAAACATGTAACGAACATATTTTTTTGTTTCTGCATGTAGAGAATAAGGGTTACCTTTTACAGATGTTTATTTGATGAAAGAATAAACAGCAATAATAAAGAGAACATAGTGAGACTAGTATTATATAATCTAATACATATGACTAGAAGAGAAAAATCAAGAACAGATTTACTTTCTTTGCTCACTATCTTATGAATTCTATGCATTGAATGAATAGCATTCATATATCAAATGGCAAAGTGTTTATGAAGAAATAAAGATGTTTCATCTTCGTCTTTTATATATCAGTTGACGACAAGATGCATAAACACTGCTCTGTACCTATAATATGTTTCTCAATAGTTAAGTTGTCTGTTTCCACCATTATTAAGTTCAGGGGATTCAATGTGCTTCTGAATCCACCTAAGGATGTAGTCCAGAGCCCATTGCTTGCAGAGATCAATGTCTCATCCCTATGTGTGTGCGTATGACTATGTGTATATTTAAGTTGATAGGTAATAGTGAGATTTGACATTATCTTTCGTATATTCTAAGGGCTTAGATGGATATACAGACTTCATACTGTCAATCATCCAAATTTTTAGTTGAATAAAAACATCTTTTAAACTTCATCGTTCAATCTTTATCTAAGTATCAAACTCTGCTATAATCACCCATGTAGGGTAGTTTCATATATACATCCTTTTCAACAATGAGTTGGAGAATAAGTCTTGATACTATGACTGCTTTATATTCTTCTGGGTAATTATTTTCGGTCAAAGTCTGTTAATATTCCTTCTTCACTTTCACGTGTGTCTTCTGTGCATATTCATTGGATCTCATTAAAAAGAGACCTCACAAAATGTACTTTGTACTGTGATAATTCAGATACTACTGTGCCCAGGTCGGTTTTCTGTAAACAGATCGTTGCAATAATCCACCTGTCTACGATTAATCGATATATTTAAGAAAGATAAACAATCTCTCTCTCTCCTGTACAAGCATGAGTGATATTCTGTGTTACACTATCATTGAAGTGGTAGAACCAGGATTGTCAATTATGAATATAAATATCATCAACATATCTTCACTTTCAGTAAAATTTTCAAGTAAACTCTGAATCACACTAGTCACACTCTCAATCATAAAATTATATATATATATATATATATTCCTCAATAGCTTTAGGCAGAGTCTAGAAGGATCACAAAAGCTTATTGTACATATTTACATTCACATTAGTAGTATTCCAACTCTGAGAGGAACAAAAATCAACACATATCTCATCTCAAAGCCAGTGTTATTCTGATTGACACAGTTTATTCATTTTTTTGCTATTGTTGGAGATTCCATTCTTTCTATTTTTCGGTTGCTGGTGTGTATTTCGACCTGTTTGGGACTCTTCATCTAGATATACTTGCATCCTGAGTGAGTGAATTATGACACTCTCCCACCGAGCCTCTAACCTTACACTCATCGTCCAAAACTCCAAAGCATTACTCATTAGGTCATGAGAGTCACCACTTGTAAATCGGTAACAGTTATTATTTGTTTTCAGGGTTAATTTTGCATTTCTCTTATGGTCTAGTGGATAATACTTTGACGTTTAAAACTATGGGTGTAAGGTTCGAGTCTCAGTAGGAACACCATTATCACTCACTGGGAATGCAGGTACACATCCAGCTAGCTGATGAGTCCACTGATAGTCACCAAAATAACCTCATGTTAATCCTTAGACATTGTCGAAGCATCCACATACTAACTAGGAGCCCAGATATCAACAGAGACAGAGGTTTTCAGTCAAGCATAATCAATCAATCAACGCGAAATGCAAAATCAACCTGAAAAAAATTCAGTCTTTGGAGTTGAAGATTTATGCCATTGAAATGAAAGATTACTTAACACTGGAAGAACTATGCAGGTAGAGATTTCAGCAAATAACAGTGAATAACTAGGCAACAACTACTTCATAGTGATGGACACACAAAAAGAACAATGTTGAAGCTGAATGGAACTCATACAGTTAAGTCTTATAACATATTTTCAATTCAACGACTAAATACACGAAGAGAAGAAAGTAACACTATTGAGATCACTCACATCAGAAGTAACTGTTGAGGCCAATATGCAAAGACCAGAAACGACAGCTCTACCAAAAATCTGGATAAGTCACGTAGATGACATATTTGTCATATTTAGAAGACAGAAAGATTGAGCGAAGAAATATTTACTTTTCAATTAGATCCACATCTCTGGCTCTACTCTAATATATGTAGCATTTTAATTAAAATTAATTAAAATGCTACATATATTAGAGTAGAGCCAGAGATGTGGATCTAACTGAAAAGTAAATATTTCTTCGCTCAATCTTTCTATCTTCTAAATGTCTGAATGGGGATTTTTTTATATTTAGAAGAAATGATTTAGAATACACTCACAAATGAATCAAATATACAAGAGAAGAAGAATCAGACGACAACAAAATTCATTTCTTAGGAGGTCTAACCAAGAGAACAAAGACAGGCAGATGTACAAGATATCAACCGATAGAGACCAAGCACTCAACAACAACAACGGCAATAATCCAATGGTACACAAAAGAAACTGTGTAACAACCTAATTCAGAAGAGTTACAACACACTGTAGCACTCCATTCCTGAGGAGAATAGAAAACAAGTATCTGCTAACCATCTTCAAGAACAATGGACAGCTTTGCAACTTCATCTAAAAAATGTCTACACACCAATCAAACTACCAGCAAGAAATCATCCTCAGAAATCCCGAGAAATTACATCTAGCTGATTCGACTCGGAAATTAAGAACATAAATTAGTTGTGAACAGACACAACATGTATTCCTTCATATCACTGCATGCAGACTTGTGGACACCAATTCGACTGGGAAAAAGTAGAAATTTTAAACAGCGGAAACACCAAAAATCCCAGGGGATTCCTAAAAATCCTGTATTCAGATGAATCAGCCGTTAACAGACACATTATTATACATGGGTCAAATTTACTAACTAATAAAGAATGAGCTACACGAACAAAAAAATTCAAATTCCAAATCAATATAAAACGATCAATACACTGATGCAAGCTAACAACCAATCACAATCAAGGTCATTCGTGGAAAAAATTCATTTAAGTTCAGTTCATTTACAAGTATGCACTGAAGATTGTGTCTAGAAGGACAATGAACCACTTAACCATTTAACTCCAAGAAAGAAACTACGTCAAAAACATTCCTGTGTTACATAACAAGGAGCAACTAGCCAACTAACAGTAAAAGTTATGCCATTCTCTGTGGGAATTTCAAGCAAGCAACTAAGAGAAGTGAATTTCGCTTCTATGTAACTACAATTTAATACTCATTATTATCATTATAATAAACAATAAATGACATTTTATGCAATGTTAACCGCTTTAATTCTTCATTTTTATCCCTCTTTCTGCATTTCAACTGGGAAATATATAACCAACAGATTAGATAATTAGCGAATGAACACATCCGTGCAGACAATAAAACATAAATCAAAGAAAGAATAAGGAATAAGCAAGCAAGTAAGTTAGTTCGTTAGTTAGTTAGTAAATAACTAAATATAGGCAAATGATGATTAATCCCAAATTAATTCACAAAAATACTGGCGAATTTATTCAATAGTATAACAATAAATAAAAGGAAAAGTAGAAAATGAAGGTGTAAACTAATGTGTAACAGGAAGTTTGTGCATGAATCATTCACCCAATTCTACTAGTAATAGTAGTTAATGGATGAAGAATATTCATTGATTTCAAAAATAGCTCTCTTATAACGAGTTAGAAGGAAATCAATTAAACAAAAGAAGGGAATACTAATCACGTGCGTCGGTGGTTCATTGGTAGAATGCGTGACAACTACACATGTGATCCGGGCTCAATTCCCAGCCGACGCACTCCTACACCCCTGCCAGCAGCTTACTACCATGTAGGCGAGGTTGGGCGTGAAGCTACCTACTCACCCCTGTAAAAAAATCACTACTGCTGAAATTTCAAAGCTTTAAGGCTTATATTCAACTAGAAAGATAAGGAATGAAAAACAAAAACTAATCAGATGTTTTATAATCATGCCGTATGAATGTTACTCATTTATGCGCATGTTAAAAGACTCAGTTTTCCCGATCTTAAAGTCACTATGTTATGCTAAAGGAAGTGCGACAAAACAGTCGTTAGGTATTCCCGACTGTCAAATCATTTCTTCACATTTGATGATGATTATTAGTTGACAAAACGGTTGATATTCTTATTATTAATCAATTTATAATTTTCACTATAAACTGTATGAACATCAATAAGCATAATTATAATAATCATGAAATTTAATGAAAACAATCTAGACTGCAGATTGTGAATAATGTTTAAAAATTCATTCTAATTTGGAAAAACTTCGTCCTCTTCATGAATTTCAACAAAACA